TATGTGTTATGCTTATATGTCTTATCCGTCCATAACGCTGATATGTCTATGCCACGACAAAGGAGCCCGAAGGAGTATAAGATCGAGCAACCCTTGCAAAACATTTGGAAAGCCTAGTTAAAATTATTATATATTGCTGGGTATTTATTTATTGTAAACTAGTTGTTCCCCGCGATTTCGCCCGCGTGGAATTTATTACGATTAAATTTCGTGGGTTTTAAATTTTTGCGCGGCCAATTTTAGCCTACGTTACTCATATCTCATATATAACATCTTTGTTAGGAGTACCGCATGTGGTAGTAGCATTTAGTAAAAAGCTGTTATTTTGACATCACAAACAGACACTTTCAACAGACAGACAATTTCTTAAATTTACGTGGACACTACACATTGAATAAAACTATTATTTACGGATTTTATCGCGTTTAATTACTTTACTTTATTTTTATTATCCCGTCATTTCGGTTGCTTTACAGCACCCATGGTCACGGGGGGGACTGAGATATTTGACGTCCCAATGTCATAGTTTGTTCGGCTACCTTCAGTTTTTGAATATTAATTTTTGGTCTGATTTATGCAAAACGAGCTTATAGTATCATGAAGTCTTGCAGTGGTATGCTTAGGTGTAATTAATATAGGATCCCAAGCAGATGGCAGCACCCATCCATCTTCTCTATTGAAATTTGGATGTTTTTTTAATTTCAATAGCCTCGCGTATCATCCTTGGTCGGAATAGGTGTTCTTTTGCGAGGATTTGTGGTTTATCAAATCAAATGTAATGGTGGGGACGATCTTGAATATGTTCGCAGACTGCAGACTACCCGGAGCGTCGGTGCTTCACATCAGCTATACGTTCCTTCACGCGGGTTTTTAAAGATCTTTTTGTTTGACCTATGTCTACGAAACGTCGGGATAATAAAAATAAATTAAAGTAATTAAACGCGATAAAATCCATAAATAATAGTTTTATTGAATACCTGTATATTATTTGTATATATTTATTAATAACATTTTTATACGTGGTAGAGCCACGCTGCAGCTATATTAGTTGTAGCACGAGTGGGTCGGCTCAACCGAGGAACACGCTCTCACAGAATACCAGCGTAAAATAGCAGTTTAACACTTGTTTAACACTGTTGTGTTTCGTATGGTGAGTATAGGAAACCGGACACGCTTTTTTACTGGAAACGAGGCATTCCATATTAGTTCTCAGGGGTGACGACGCATTTGCATTTTGATTTTTTTTTATAGAAGAAGGGGCAAACGAGCATGCGGCTCACCTGATGTTAAGTGACTACCGCCGCCCATGATCGACCGCAACACCAGGAGAATTGCGGGTGCGTTGCCGGCCCTTTAGAAAGGAGTAAGCTCTTTTCTTGAAGGTCCCCAGGTCGTATCGGTCCGGAAAAATCGCCGGTGGTAAACTATTCCACAGAGAGGTTGTACGTGGAAGAAAACTCCTTGTGAAACGTACAGTGGTGGACCGCCAAGCATCCAGATGGTGTGGATGGTATCGGGACGTTTGACGTGTAGTGCGTTCACGAATTTTGGCAGCTGGAATTAATCCGAACAATTCCTCAGAGCACTCCCCGTGATAGATGCGATAAAATACGCAAAGAGATGCAACATCTCTTCGCAGCGCCAGTGAATCGAGCCGATCGGAAAGCACTCGGTCGTCGACGATTCGAGCCGCTCTGCGCTGGATGCGGTCAAGTGGAAGAAGCTGGTACTGGGGAGCCCCAGCCCAGAGATGGGAACAGTATTCCATGTGCGGCCGAACCTGCGCCTTGTAAAGTTGCAGGCGGTGTGCCGGCATGAAATACTGTCCCGCTCTGCTGAGCACGCCAAGCTTTTTAGAGGCCAATTTGGCCTTCCCTTCCAAGTGACCACGAAACTGCACGTCACTCGATATGTCGACGCCGAGGATTCCGATACTGGCTGAGGCAACAAGGGGAGTGCCTTGAAACTGAGGGGATACGACAAAGGGGTTCTTTTTAGCGGTTAACGCGCAAACTTGTGTCTTCTAGGGGTTAAACTGGACTAGATTTAGTCGCCCCCCAATCCGAGACTCTGTCCAGCAGAGACTCGACTTCAGACACAAGTTTGTCCCGGCACTCGTAGACGTTTTCCCGAGAAATATTGGCTCGGCCGGTGTAAAGAGCATCACCAGTGCTGTCATCTGCATAGCAATGAATGTTACGGGTATGCAACATGTCATTGATATGCAGAAGAAACAGCGTTGGCGATAGCACGCAGCCCTGTGGAACACCAGCATTAATAGGCTTGCAAACGGAGCTTGCACCGTCTACAACGACCTTGATGCTCCGATCTGCAAGAAAGCTGGTGATCCAATCGCACAATTTCTCGGGAAGCCCATAGGAAGGGAGCTTCGAAAGAAGCGCTTTGTGCCAAACCCGATCGAAGGCCTTCGCAATGTCCAAACTAACGGCCAATGCCTCCCCCTTGAACTCTACTGTCTCCGCCCATCTGTGAGTTAGGTAGACCAGAAGATCACCAGCTGACCGACCACGGCGAAAACCGTATTGGCGGTCACTAATCAGCTGGTGATCTTCAAGGTACCTCATGAGCTGGCAGTTTACAATGGACTCCATTGATTCTTAATCGAAGATAAATGTAGATATCTAAGGCAGCTTCCACTTATCACCAGGTGGACTGTGTGCCCGTTTGTCAACCCTATTCTATAAAAAAATCGCTACGACCCATCAAATGTCCACTGCTGAACACAGGACTTTCTTAAAGATTTGCTTCATATTTGCCAATTTCGCCACACTAAGTAGTTGGGTTGGCAGCCACAATTCTTTGTTATATTGAGTTGTTATCAGGAAGATGCTGCGGCTCATCTTCTGTTTCATTTTTTTCTGTCGCCTGTTACGACGTCGGTGGAATGATATGTGGTAGTGAATTCTTATGGTGATTACTCTTTAGTGGTGTCACTAAACAGCGGAACTCTAATTTATTTAATGTAAAAATTTACTTCGTAAAACAACTTTTATAAGAGCTCGTACACATTGGGCCCTCGGCGTTGCGTTAGGCGCGCGTTGATAGCATACAAACACCGCGCTCAACATAGCGTTCGACGACCGTTAACAGGGCAAGTCCCTAGTAGCTGGTCGCTTTTGGATTTCATCAATAAAGAAATCCGTATCAAAATGATCGATCTCCATTTTTGTCAACATGCGTCCAATCTACACGAAAGCTTGCGATAAAATGTACAAAAAAATGGTGGCCCGTGTACCTAAAAGCGCGCGGTTAAGGCGACACTGCGAAAAAATGCACCTCCTTTCATCGAATAGTATAGGACTATGACACCACTAACGAAAGTGGAATTTTCATAAAGGTAAATTCATGTCTTTATCTTGAACTTGCTTGTTCAAAAACACGATTGTATAATTTTGACTCGATCATAATTATTTGCGAAAACATCTCGAAAAATCACTATAGTTGAAATTACAACGGAATTAATTGTACTTGCTGTAACTGCATACATTATTGGACATAGTTGCATTATATGTTCGTAAGCGGTGAAATGTTTACGGACTTAACGGTAATTATATCTTTATTTTCTAAATATAACCCTGTTATCTAATGCGGTAAATAACGTATTTATTAAAGGATTTGACTATTCTCACTACGGACTTGGTGTAAGTAATCGCCATTCGTTGGTGTAGGTGGGTAGTAAGTGGCGACTTCAGAGGCTTCAGAGCTCAAAAATCATTGTAACTACAATGTAATGTTAATAAATTTCATTTCATTTCATTTCTTTTCAGTAAGAGGCGGCTTCAATACAACTTACGGTTCATAAATTGAGTGGTATATATATATATATGAAATTATCAAGTTTTATTTAACAATAATTGTGAATAAACAAGAAAGAAGTGTTAAAAGACCTGTAATTTACGAATAATAGACGACGTGAGTTCGCAAGAAATAACAAACTAGTTTGAAAGACTTCTCGTAACAAGGCGAAAAGTTTTTCAATCAAAATCTACGGTCCAGTTGACGACATAGGTTTTGTGGTGATATTTATCTGAAAATCGTGAATTTTTCTATTATGTCCTAGTTTAAATATTTCTTTAGTATACTTTTTCGACCACCGTGAGTTGCCGACACCATACTTTTTATAGAATAGGGATGACAATGAGCGCATATTTATTTGGATGCTCTGGCTCAGACATCTACATCTATTCTCGAAATAATCAAAATGACAAAAGCATTGTCACCCCTGAGCAGTAATAGAATACCTTGTTTCCAATAAAAAGGATCTCCGATTCTCAACTGCTGGTGTTCTGTAAGAGCGTGATCCTTCCCCGGTCGAGCCGACCCATTCGTGCTACGTGCTAGTTTCCTTTGTATACACTTAATGAACTTTGATATCAAATTTCAGGTTTCTGTAAGTGAATAGTAACCTAGTAGTTTTTTATAAGTTGACACACACACACACACACTCACACATGCATACGCCACACACACACACACACACATACACACACACACACACACACACACACACACACACACACACACACACACACACACACACACACACACACGTACGCACGCATGCACGCACGCACGCACGCACGCACGCACGCGCACGCACGCATGCACGCACGCACGCACGCAAGCACGCACGCACGCACGCACTCACGCATGCACGCACGCACGCACACACACACACACACACACACACACACACACACAGAGAGAGAGAGAGAGAGAGAGAGAGAGAGAGAGAGAATAACACAGACCTTATAACTCAAGAACTATAATAGGTTCGTTTATAACATTTGGGATTCTAGGCATTCGAGGTAAACTTATTAGGTATGCAAATTACTACCTCAAACAATTTTCGACTTATGTGAACTCGAAATAGTTTGTGTTACATATAATTCGTGTAGTACACTGCCGATGCGTCGTATTTATTTTCTCCGCCCTTGTCTGATGATACACAGCCGTTTAAAAAAATTATAGTCACTTACGGATCTTTTTTGATGATGATGATGCTCTAGTTTCATGTTGGCGCACCGATTGAGAGCCGTAAGCCGCCTGAAGAGGGATTGCAAGGAGTCCGCATCCAGGAACGGGTGATCGTTCTGGACCCCAGACACGTCGATTGGAAACTGGAGATCTGAAACAAAAATGAGCAAAGATGTTCAATGTACAATAACTATTATCATGTTCATCTGCATTAATTCCAATAGTAAACATAGGCCTTGCTCAAGAAAGTACAACCACAATACCCGATCCTGAACCACCTGTATCCATACATTTCTTGCATGATTTACGAGGCCGTCACCTCGTCTAGTGCAAGTGACATAAAGCTGCCACTGGGAATAAAGTGGGAATCTTACTGGTGTGACAAAGGAGCACACAGTCCACCTGATGGTAAGTGGATGCTGTGACCCATATACATGTACATCTATCCTCGTATAAGAATCAAAACGCAGATAGGTTGTCACCCCTGAGGACTAAGATGGAATGCCTCGTTTCCAGTAAAAAAGGGTCTACGGATCTCTACACTTACCATACGAAAAACAGCAGTATTAAAATACTATTTTATGCTAGTATTTTGTGAGAGCGTGGTCCTTCTCCGGTCGAACCGATCCATTCGTGCTACAACCATAATACCTATATAGTTGTAGCGTGGCTCTACCACGTATTAACTCTGTTTTTACGCAGAGGAGAGGAGTTCTACCACCTAGATGTTTATCTGAATATGAGAAAGAGATAGGGGGATGTTTATTTAAAGGATGTGACGGTTATGTAAATTGGCATAACAAGCTAAATATAAATTTATATATTTAACATGATGTGCCCCTCTTTGTGAATAGATGGAATGAATTGTTAGTTAACACAATGAAAAGCTCCGTCAGTATTAATAAGAAGCCATGTGGAAGCCCCCGTTGAGGTGCTCCTAAGGGCCTATATAATAAGCTAGACGGTTCTGAGCTTGTATAAGGTTATTGATTGTTGTCTTAATTTGTATTTATGTCTTAAGACGATATTTGAGAAATGCGAAGATAGTCTCGGCTATTGTCTAGAAATAAACAGTATTTATGGGTATGGTAAATCTGAGATATTTTGATTATATCTCCGTCTATATTATTTTGTTCATAATTCGCTATTGTTCCTCCTAATTGTGTCGATTTCACAATATCTATTTGCATGAATACGATCAAGTTACCATAGTGGCGCTTGGCTGACGTGTTAACCTCAGTTTTTTTTAAAATTATTATTGAGTTATTTTTATTTCATATTCATCTTCTGTTTCAGTTTTCCTCAGTCGAATTTTATAATGACGTCATAGTTTCTTGTATTTTTTATAGGATAGGGATGACAGCAAGCACATAGCACATCTGATGGTTAGTGGATGCTGTGGCCCATAGACATTTATATCCTCAATTAAGAATCAAAATGCAGATGCGTTGTCACCCCTTACGATTTATATGGAATGCCTCGTATCTATCTAGTAAAAAGAGTCTGGTTCTCTACACTCATCATACGAAATACGAACAAGCTGCTATTTTACGCTAATATTTCGTGAGAGCGTGGTCCCCGGTCAAGTCGACCTATTCGTGCTAAATCTATAACATAGCATCTTGGTTCTAACACGTTAAAAATATGAATTAAAAAAAGTAATATTAAAATTTGTATAAAGACTTTAGAAATTAAAATAAACAAAGTATTGGAATCCATGCGGATTTACTGTTACCGGCCTGTCGATCAACCTTAACAAAAGAATGTTATGTTATTTAAAACAATAACGTCAGAAGAAACACAAACCTGAACGTCACACTAGGTGATAAAATAGTAGAATCTGTAGAAAAGGGTACATTCTTAAACGTGAGTATAGACAGTGGTCTAAAGTGAAGACATGAATTTGAGGCGATTGAGAGTAAAATAAGTTCAGCTTGTTACGTATTAAGAAGCTTACGGAATGGAGCTGATCTTGAACAATTAAAATTGGTTTAGTACGAATTGATGGAGTCAATACTACGTTACAGTATTTTATTCTGGCGAGGAAGCTTTAAATGTGATGTACACAAAACCTTTGTTTTGCAAAAAAGAGCAACCAGAACCATGGTTCGGATAAAACAACAAGAATAATCTCGCGAATATTTCGAAAGACTTGGGATCTTGAGTCTTGACTATTCCATGTTTGTATATATCTAGTCTTACGCACAAAAAAGATTTAAAAATAATTTTAAAAAGTTCCTGCAGGAAAAATATAATTAAAGTGTTGACGAATTTCTACATGCTAATGCTGTATATTATAACCCTCAATGTTTTAAGATTATTAGTGACATTTAAAAAATAATCGTAAATTTTTTGTGACAAATATTGTTATTATTAATTTGCGATATTTTATACTTTATTTTGATGAGTTTTGACTTGTAATTTTATTGTAATTTTTTATAATTGTAAATTTAATTCTTACGCATTTTAAGTATTTTCTGCATAAATTATTCAATACAATTAGCATTCCTAAGAATAAATAAATAAATAAATTGTAAAACATATTTTAAATAATAAACTTACAATGAATATTTATAATATTCTTGCTTTCAACTAAAAGCAGTAGGCTCGAAAGAATATTGCTTAAATTATTAACGTAATTCTTAACGTATATAATAACTGACACTATGTTGCCTACTGCTGAATAGTTTTTTAATTTATCTTACACATTTATCTGATATACTATATTGGTAGAATTCTTTTCTAGAGATAAAATAAGAAAGAAATTTTTATTTAAATTATATATATGCTGAGTTAAGCTTCCTCATACTGTCAGCAGTAGGGGATTGCGTCTCAGATTCATATATCACAACTATCAACACTCTTGTCATTAAATTTTTTCCATTTCACCCATTCAGCAGTGATCTTGTAAAATGTGATGATGATAACTTAGTCAACTAACCAATTAATAAGCTATTTTGATCATTACGAGTAGTGCGTGCACTCAAAAGCAAAGAAATTATTCGATGTTAAATTTTTATAAGAATCCATTAAAGAGGTAAACATTAACAGTCTGAAGATGATGCCATTGCGTGCACTTATTCAACATCCTGTTATCTAAGAACTAGCATCTAGTGGCAGACCGAGCATTACGTCGTAAATAGGGCCATATAACTTTAACTACCCCTTTAATGCAACGCCGCGTCTGAGAGTTCATATATAGAGAGGTCGCAGATTTGCATTATATTTATTACTCCTGCAGCGATTAAAGATATGTGATGATGGTTCAAATGGGAAGTATTAAAAGTTAACGGCGTATCCGGTTGTTGGTAAAATAATAGATACGAATTTGTAATTGCATCAGCCTTTTAAGGTAAAAGTAATTTTCATTTTTCGATTTAACCTTTAGGGAGAACCTTTTTTAACCTTTTGACTCTATAACATATTCATATCATTATATTGATTCCTAATCGAGGATAAATGTAGATGTCTATGGGCCACAGCATCCACTTACCATCAGGTGGACTGTGTGCCCGTTTGTCACTCTTATCTTATAAAAAAATATTTTTGTTGTCGTTGAAATATCATATACGTACTCGTAGTAACCAGATGACCGAGCTTTACTCGGTTTTTTTAAGTTACATTTATATACAAATTACATGAATAATAGTTTTTGATCTTATTGACATAATAGAAAAAACTGAACTGGTTATTTGAATAAAAAATCATGAGTGCAATTATTTTAATTAAAATTTTCGTATTTTTAAAAAATACTAAAAAAAAGGGCTCGAAATAATAGATTTTCTCACAAAAGAAGGGAACTTGAAAAAAAAAAGGAAAAAAGTCGGACCCAAGACGGGACGCGAACCACGGAACTCCAATATCACGCCTGAACAACATCCCATCTGAGCTATTACGATCGTTGGTAACCTGTCAAGATTTACCTTCTTGTATTGTAGCAGTTTTTATTGCCTGAAAACACGGACAAAAGGACATTTTCTAAAAATAAATCCTAGCTAGATCGATTTATTGCCCCAGAAACTCCCTGGACACTAAATTTTATGAAAATCGTTGGAGCCGTTTCCGAGATTCCGATTATATATACATAAGTATACAAGAATTGCTCGTTTAAAGGTATAGATGTATGTTAAAATATTGATAGCTTTGGAAATTAAGTTAAGTAAATAAGATTTTAGGGATATTTTCATCTCAAATTGCCTGTTTGATAAATTAGATTGCATTTCAATTTGAGCATGGCTTAAAGTTCCATAGCAAAGTCCATTAGTTAAGCCGTGTTTTGAAGGGATAACAAGATTACTCCGATGTTTAAACATGCTGTTAGCAAAACGTCTGTTACATTAAGTGATATATATATATACAGTGTGTCCGGTCACGGACTAGCGATATTTTAGGTACTTATAATACAGCTATTTTAGTATAAAAATACACTACACACTGAGGTCTAATCCCCTCCCCCTCTATTTGGCAGCCATTTTGTTTTTCTCTTGAGATATTCTCTACGCGTTTACGAAAAAAAGTCATATCTCTGAAAGTTTTAGTCTTAATGAGATAAAAATTAAATCATTCGGAGGCCAATAATATTGTTCATCGTTTACACTATCAAAATTTTTGTTAACATACTTGTAACTTTGAAGAAAAAAATTTAACTTCAAATAAATATCAAAAAAATATGCTAATCGGCAAATTATTGTAAATTACTGCAAAAAAACCCCGTTCACCCTTTTTATTTTTATACTAGATCGACAGATTTTGAGTTAAGCTACAATACAACATAAAGTTTACAGCTGTATCTTTATTACTTTAAGAATTATTGTTGTTTGAACATAGCATATACGCAAACACAAAAGGCCTTTGTTAAATGAAAACTGGCACTGCCTGCCTAGGAGTAATAATAATCTGAGATTACTTATGATCTTCGATGAATTAAAGATGATGAATTAGAGATCAGAGAATCAGAATCATCATTTATAAGTAGTATAATTTGAGAGCAGGCAGCACAGAACACTAGGCCTATTGTGTTTGGGCATACGCCATGTTCAAACAACAATAATTCTTAAAGTAATAAGCATACAGCTATAAACTTTATGTTGCATTGTAGCTTAACTCAAAATCTGTCAATCTAGTATAAAAATAAGAAGGGTAAACGGGGTT